TGTGTATCAACTTAGACTATGGAATCAAAACTATGAGAAATTAAACCAGCAAGAATCTTCATTCATCAGCACATGAACACCACCAGAAACATAAAGAGCAAATGAAATTTACGTTGTAAATATTTCTTGCCAAGCAAAGAAGCCATTTACAAAAGTTAGCAATTTTTGAGAGGAATCATTTTGAAATGGGACCCCTGTATGCATTTGTTACTTCAATGATACAAGAAAAAAATATTGTCAAAATATTTAAATTTATTTATGTTCATTGATTAATATGAGATCTCTGTTGATTATTGCATCATTTTGATCTTACGTTGCCAGTTCTTTATAGCGGTTGACTTGTTAACCCAACCAATTGAAAATTTGTGGAGCATTCTGAAGATTCACATTGGCAAACAGTAATTTATTTTTAACTTTGAAATGCTAGCCTGGATGCTGTACAATCTTATTTCATATGCAGAAATAAAACAGCTAACAAAAATCAATCAATGAATGACTTGTAAAATGAGTTTCAAAACAGGACGTCATTTCGATTTTTAAAGATCTTATTAGTGGTATGGAATTTTATTAAGGCAATATTTTGTAATGCCTGTTTGTAGGAGAGACTTTGTAAATCACAGATACCATAATAGTAATGCCTACGAACAATACTGTCAAATGCCGATAATTCTCATACAGTGCAATGTCGGTTCTCGGACGTCTCTTATGGCAAACAAATTGGTTTTCAAACAGAAAATTCTAGATGAAAATGCCTTAGTTATCAAACAAAATTTTGGTTCTTGAACATTGCCGAAATGAGTTAACTGAATGGAATAATTTCCAAGTCAACTGCCATGTTGTATACATTCATGTGCTGTGGCGTGTTTTTCTTTTCCAATTTTATTGTACTGTGACTTTTCTTCTCTACATTGATTTCTATTGGAAAAATAGTTTCAGTTTACAAACATTTCGGATTATGAACAGACTTTAGGAAAAAATTAAATTAGTGAACCAAGGTTCCACTGTATATATATTTTTTCTTTACCTGTCACATGATCTAATTATTTCAAGATGAGGTCAACTGTGATTGCTCTCTGGCGATCCATGTTCAAACCCAAGTTTTGGCAGCAACACTTTATTCCTATATGACACAATAAAACAGACATAATTAAAAGACAAAAAGTCAAGCAAAGAAAAACCACAATTAGTGTAGTTGGTACCAAAAAAAAAAACAAGAGAAGAAAAAAGAACTTAATCCTTTTTTCTCATTTTCTCCTCCCACTTTGCCTTTAGTTTCCTTTCCAAGTCAACAGTGTCATTTATTTATTTTATACTGTTAAGATTACACCCATTGGTTAAAGAAAGCAAACCAAAGATATTGATTGAAAATATATGATTATTGATGACTCTTCTCAAAATAATAAAAATGTCAGATTGAAAATGTCTGATAGCTCTTCTCAAAATTATAGACAATATTTAAACTTGTATAATGCAAACCTGCCATTTTGGATTTCAATTTTGGCAAATAATTCCTTGAATTATGGTAAATAAGAAGAATCTAATATACTGAATTATAAGATTTGTAGTGGTGGGGGGTTCACCAAAGTCATTATGTTATCATTTTAAGGGTTAAACTTTTTTTTCAAAATTCTTGCACTCGTATAATCTATCACAAAGAATCCATAAAATGTTTTTCTTCTGTAATTTACATTTTGATTCCAAGAAAGGATATTGTGAAAAAATTAATTCCAAGAAAGAATACTGTGAAAAATTCTTTTTTAAAAGCCTTTAACAATATTTGCAATTATTTGATATATTTATTTCAACGCTTCAGTAACTTGTCAATTTATTTTTTCTCTACACTTTTTTCTAATTTTCCTAAATTTTATTTTCAACTTGCAAATGAAATATCTTTCATTAAGCAATGTTTTTTTTTTTATTTTTACCTGACCTTATATTCAAAATATGATGTTTAAAACTTTTGAAAACATTACTCCTTTTTTTTCTCTAAATATGAACATATATATCAAAATTTTCTACACTTGATTTCTACAGATAACTATCCAATGCAGTGTTCTTTTTGAGGTGACAAAACAGCTTCTTAGAATGTGAACAAGAATATTTTTATTTTAAATATTTGTAATAAGCAACAAAAGGACAGTCTTATTTCTCTTAATTTTCACTACTCCGGACACAAGACAATATTTATCAGGAAATCATTCATACATAATTCTTTAAATATTATTGCAAAAATATTAGTGTTAAGACAATTGAACTTTTATATTCTTGATGATGTTACTATTTTGACGACACCATTCTTTAACCCAAAAGATAGGGTTGGGAAGACATATTTATTTACACACACAAATTTAAAAAAAAAAAAAAAATCCATATATATATATATATATATATATATATATATATATATATTTGTAAAAAGTTAATGGATTTTGTTTTAGAATTTGTGTGCAATATATATATATATATATATATATATATATACATACACACACACACACACTATACTCTTCTGTCCTTTTCAACCTATGAGGGTACAGTTGCTAAGTTCTTAGAATCAAACTATCTGCATATATAATTTGATTATATTAGTGAAAACTTGGGCAAAACCAACCAGAGTTTTTGGAAGAACTAAATACAGATAACTGGGGCACATAGTGTGCCATAAGGCTTCCAAAAGACACCTCATGTTTTCAATTTTGAGTTGTCCTTCTCCTAGACTGGTTGCCAACCAAGGCTATAGGATCCAGTCTGTCCGGCTATTCAACCGATAACTGGGAGTAGAGATTTTTACCTTTCCCAAGGTTATTTGCACTTAAATAAATGTAACAAACTTGGCTGGAATTTGAACTCAGCTCTCCAATTTTTCATTCCAGACCATTATCTATTACACCACTGCGCATCCATATATATATATATATATATATATATATATATAAATAATCCATATGGATTATATATATGTTTATATGAATTTCGGGGTATTATAAACCTAATGTCTTCATCATCATTTTTTTACCAGTGCTCATATTGTTCAGTTTGACATTCCAACCACCTGAAGAAGGCCAGAGTGTACAATGGTCGAAACGTAATAAATATGGTGACAAAGATTAGGACAATAGTCTGAATAATGTAAATAATATACATAATACCTCATCTCAGAAATATAGACAGATATAAGAGAGAGAGAAAGGTTTGTATAATCCTTTTCTTATGTACATAAGAGTGCTCTATTTTAAATTCCTTTAAAAAGCTGATGAAAGTTTAAAATATATTTTAAAAGATCAATGAATCTCAGGAATGTGATTAAAAACTACCACACATTTTGAAAGATGCTAAGCATAACAACGCTCTGTAAATGGATAAATAGAATGAAACCGTTTTGTGTGTTTCTGTATGTTATATACCCCCACCCACACACACACACACCAACTACCTCAGCTTATTTTATCAGAGCTAGGATAATAGACAAATCTATTACTGTCATTCATGTAGCCAGGTCCAGGTGATTTCAATCTATATACAAAAGATTTACTTCATCCCTTTTTATTCTAGCAAGGAAAACTGAATAGTGCTAAGATCTCTACAAGCATGATTAACACAGCTGGCCAAGAATCTGATATATGCAGCCTCTTTCAACTTTATCACTCTCCTTCAGTGCTCCCTGTCAATTATTTGAATCTCATCATAGAAACAGTAATGCATGCATTTCTCTCTCTGCCATATCAAATTACTGTCCCTCTCCTTTGGCTATAGCTTTATTAAGAATAACACCAAGAATATAAGAGTTCAGTTAACAATATTTGTAGTATTAATGTCACTTGTCAGAGTTACAGAAAATGTTTTCCAAAAGATTTTATATATATATATATATATATATATATATATATATATATATATGATTAATACAAATTTGTTACTTAAATGATTGATGCTATTTTCAGCATCTTGAATGCAGAATTTTGTAGGCAAACTTTGCCATAATTGTTCAGGCCAGTCTTCAGGAAGTTCCACCAATCAACTGCTGATTTTCTCATTTTTTTTTTTGTTGTCTTTATACTAAGTTTGATGTAATTAATTTACTTTTTATTTGGTTTTAGAAAATATCATTTGAAATTACAGGTCAGGTAAAAATATTCCTTTATTTTATACATATATATATATATATATATATATATATATATATATATGATTGAATAATCTAGACATATCTGTTTTTATTTTAATCCTTTCAAATTCATGGATCAATTTCTTAATGTTGCCATTAAACTCATTTACAAAGGTGCTATAGTTTTTCTCTTTTCCTTTTATTTTCACAAGTACTTTCAATCTTATCCAAGATCATCTTCAGGGGTGAATAGCTTAAAATAAAAATAAATAAATATAATGTCTAGATTATTCAACCAAACATGCTTGAATGAAGATATGCTGCCTACATATACACACACACAATATATATATATATATATATATATATATATATATATATATATATATATATATAGTGAAGAAAGATTATCCATGTGTACTTCTCATAATATGTAGATATATTAGACTGATGAAAGAAATTCAAAAAATAAAAAAAAAACAGCAAAAAATAAGAATATTGATAACGAGACTAATAGTATTGTTTATCAGTAGGACCTTTTGACTAAATAGAAGCATGTTAAAAGTTTGAATTTTCAGACACAGCCGTGTTCTTCCTCAATGAGAAATAAAAAATGAAGTTGGTGCGGGGGTTGCCTACATGTGTTATATTACTGATGTAATCTGGTAGTTTTGGGCATCTTTTGTCGTCTTGCTTCTATTTGATCAAATGGCCTACTAATATATAACAAATATTATTAGTTTTATTACCAACATTATTATTTGGGTTGTTTTTTTTATCTCTCAAATTTCTTTCATCACTCATATATACACACACACACACACACACACAAAATTGAACTGATGAAAAGATACACATCTTACAAGTAGTATCCCTTTGTGTACTTACTATACAGTGAAACAGAGGAGCGTGCATTACCCAAAGTCAATGTTTCATTGCCGCCACTTACCAAGCTCCCCGGAGAACCTGTGACACCACCATTTCCCGTTCCTCATGTGGGATTTGGGAACATGCCGCGGGAGTCAACATATGATTGCCCTGCTGACTTTAGAACATCCGACGTGAAATCCGTGGAGGCCATGTCAAGCAGGTTGGATAAAAAAAAAATTAAAACAACCTCCACTTCACCATCACCAAATCAGCCCAATTCTCCCTCCTCCTTGAGAAAGAATTGATATTAACCTAACTGGACCTTGAATTAATCTGCTTTAAAATAATCAGGTTATTTGATTTTGACAGGGTTTTGACAGCAGATGTTAAATATCTTTCAGTAAACAAAAATCTTAGTTTGTCTGTGTTTTAGTTGACTAATCAGTCTTCTTTGTATATTTCACCAAGTAAACTAGCTACCATTTTGAACTCCTGTTGAAGTAATTGACTAATCTGATTTTTTTAACCAATCAAATCATGTCTTTCTTTTCCAATTTGCCCTTTTTTATTTTTCCCACCAATCCATATAATTCTTTGATTGTAGCACTGTATCTTCATCTGTTATTCAGTGTAATTGAAAGAACTTGACTAGATTTTATTAATGATACCATATATACTTGCAGATAGGTCAAACCCTTAATTTGGGGTTGTCAAAGTGGATATTTGCTGTTGACTTGCAGATAGGTCGCACTATAATCTGGGGAGTTACATGGTCCTTTTTTTAATGTAAATATAACTAATATTTGATAAATATTTTCAAAAGTTTGCTTACATATATTTAAACATAAGAAAAGTGTTTATTCATTTAAATATAGTTATTAAACTTCATCGGGACTGAAACCCCAAAATTCTTCCTCATCATCATCACTGTCAAATATTCTTTGCATTTGTATTTACTTATCGAGTGTGGGGCTGCTCTGTTTAGAAGAAAATTTGGATACTGGTAATCACTTCAGTTCTAAAATCACTTGAAAATGATAGTCTTTTGTCGTAAATCAGATAGATGGTAAATATGAGTAGTGTAGATTGAGTGCTTTTATTTAATGTGTGTTGTGTTACTGTTGGAAGAAGCAATTGTGTAAAATTGAAATGTCAGGAAAAATTTATATTCTCCCTTGCTCTCACTTATGCACAAGCCCAGGTTACTCACCTGGACTATTCATATGCCACTATCTACTTCAGATTCTCTATGAGGAAATAGGTCACACCCCTTACTTTTATCAAAATTTTAGTGAAAAAAAAGTGCGACCTATCCTCAAGTATATATGGTATTACATTGTTTTTGTGGCTTGATCAGAAATTATGATAAAAAACAAAACCTGTTAAAATTTTACTTAGCCTGAAAATTAATTTGGAGGCAGAATTAGTCATGTATTCCAGTTATGTTAATATTAATAAAGCATCTTTTTGTCTCTCTTTTCTGCGGATCTGGTATCCTCTTTTCATCTTGCCTGTATTCCTGCAATTCATAGAATATCCATTTATTTTTCTCATCTTTGATATGCCACATGGTAACAAATAATGTTTTTAATGGATTAATCTTCACCTTTTTAAGCAAATATTTTTTATTGGTATCTACAAGTGTGCACTAGAGAGATCATTATTAAATTGGTTTTGATACTGTCAAGTTACCTCCTCCTAATTTTCGAAACTGCTCCTAGGGAACATTCTCAGGACTCTAAATACTCTATATTATTTTTCTCATTCTCATTCTCTTTCTTTTTCCGCCTACACAACAACATGTAAACCACTCATGGAGAACATCCTTTCCCTTGGGGAAGAAAATGAACAATATATAAACACACATGTATGTATGCACATTCACTCACTACACATACTTTGGGCCAAAACGGTTTTCACATTCTTTTGTTTTGTTACACACATTGTTGTCTTTGTTGCTTGTATACCTTTGTTGTTAATATCTTATTTATTTGTACATATATATTGATTCTTATAGTTTCTTTGGATTTCTTTATATGGCCTCATTTCCTGAGTCTGCCATATTTATTGTGGGCATTTCAGGAGAAAGCGTGTTATTTCCCAACTCAAACACCGATGTAACTAACACCTTCAATAAGTTGAGAAACGCATCCACTGGCCCACAACAATACTAAACACTTATGGCCTTGTGTCAAGTTCAGTAAATCTATATTATAAAAGAAGAGCTGATTCTCTGTCCGTCACACACTGGGTTACTTTGCATGTGCTTATGTAATGTACAGTGCTGTTCGATAAAAGTGACTCAACTTATCCTTTGAATTTAGCTCAACTTTTGTTTCATCGGAGAAAAGAACATTCTTCCAGTCTTCTACGGTGAAATTTTTGTAATAGTGAGTCAATTTAAGTCTCTTGGCTTTGTTGGCTTTGCTTATTAGCAGATTAAACCTTTGTGTACAAGATTTGTAGCCTTGTTCTAACAGCCACCGATGGACCGTTGAAGAGGCAAGACTAACACTTTCCTCTTTGCTTAAACTGGCTGCAATTTCTTGGCTAGTTATAGTCCTATTCTTCGCACCTTCTCTCTTGATTACCCTGCCAGTTCTATCATCAATCTTTTTCTTTCGTCCCCTTGTTTCCTTTCTTGGAGCAGGAGTGACATCATTATGTGCCCTAAGCACTTGAGAGATAGTTGATTGTGAGGTTATAGCAATTTCTCTCGTAGACTTGCCTGCTTTTGAGAGGGCAATAAGAGATGTCTTAAGTGGTTCTGATGCGTGTTTGTACCCTTTCATCTGGTTAGTGACGTGAGTGGCTATTTTAAGCTGTTTTTATACTGTATGAGGCTTTCTGGAATATTCTGGATTACTCTAGATTTAATTTAAGCTGTTCTAGAATTCTCTAAAATATTGTTCTGAGTGTATTGTAAAATAGTTTTCAATATTTTGTCAAAAGCTCTTTAAATTTATCAGTTTAATCATTAGAATGCGATATCTGAGTCACTTTTTTTGCACAGTGTTTTTTTTCTGAATATCATTTATATCCAAATTTATAATTATCATTAGAATACCTTAGGGTGAATAAACTTTTTTCCTAGGTGGTCGGGAAGGGGTCTTTATATTAGTTAGATTAAAAATTATTTTAACCCCAAAAACAATAGACAAAAAATATTTTTAGTAAAAAAAATCAGGTGAGTCACTTTTATTGAACAGCACTGTATATGCAGATGTCTGCAAGAGTGACTTCTGCTTAGGCCATTTCATGTACATACATGCTCACACAATTTGACAGAGTTTAAAATAAGGCTGTAGAATAATATATTCTCTTCTCACTCTATCTGGACTCCCCCAGTTTAGGCTGTGCAATTAAAATCCTAAAGTTGGCAGCAAAAATGTTGTTTGGGGGGGGGTTAACTCTAAAACAATTGGATAATTATAAGATTCTGTTCAACTTTTCAGAAATTATTCAGTAATAAATAAAATTATTTTTAAAACTTAAAAAAAAAATATGTATAAAAATTTTTAAGCCTGTATTGAATTAAAATATGCATGCACTTGAATGAAACTGAAAGTGACATCTATATCATGAGGGCTAATTTCTCTTTCTGCCTAGCAACAACCCCTGGATAACAGGAAAACAGTATAAGCCAGTCCTTTGAAGTCATTTTTATGAAATTTAAATTGAATATATTTTTGAATAACTAGTTTTTCAAGTGGGCAAAAATCTGAAATTGGATCATCTTGCAGTCTGCAAAGCAACAAGTACTGAACTAGTATCTACAATTGCTGTCTACAGTCATCTGTTCTGCTTTAGGATTTTTCTCTGTGCCCCACTCACTTAATAATTTATTACTATTTGATTAAAACTAAGACATGAAAATTGAATTTATGGTTGCCATTTTCAATAAACTTTGGTATGTCTTGTTAAGAGTTGGCTATCAATATGAGCATATGATCTCAAATCTGAACTTTACCCCTTGCTTGGTGGGCAAGATAGTTGTATTTCCAACTCATTACAGTGGTCAATGTTCAAGCCCAGGTAAAAACCAAAATCTCAGACACTGATTTTTAAGGCAAGCTGGTCCTCTCCACTTGAAAGATTGGTACAGCACAAACTTTGTACACTGATTTAGTCTTGTCCTTTTCACCTTATCTAAGTATATATCAGATCTTAATTTGTATAGTGTGAGCAAATCTAATTTGACCTCACCTTTTAATTGGCTAAAATATTTCATTTTTTTTTTTTTTTTTTTTTGACCAATTTTAGTCTTTTCGTCACATTTGGGAGCAGGCCTCTTCTCAGCCTTGAAATACTGAAGAATAATTTTCTGTCAGTTTTGGCAGAGAAAATTTCCTGTTTCAGTACACCCATGATATACAATATAGGCCAATGTTTGGAGCCACTATTTGAATTTAATAATTAATAAGTTTCATACCTTCTTTGGTTTAATTAACTTATACTAAACTAGGTTAATGAAACTATTTAACCCATTAGTACAAATTTTTGTTTGTTAGTACGTTAGGTAAAATCTGCCATTCCTAAGATTATCTTCATGAAAAATAAATAAAATGGAGTAAAACTAGTAATAAAATAATATTGAAAATGCTTAACCTATATCTTCTTGGTTTTAGTTTAAACTGGCACCTACATTTTTATATTTATTGTGGCCACTTTGCTTAAATTTTATTTCTTGATTTCAGATGAAAAGTTTCCAATATATTTCAGTGAAATTTTTAATTGCCAAAATTATTGTTCAGATATTGTTGTAGCATACCTATGGGCAATAATAGGTATGTCCTCATTCATATAAATATGGTAGTAAATACTGTATGTCGGTTTGCAGTTGGAGATTCATTGTGAAATTCACTTGACTCACTTCTAGCAGTTGCCTACTTCTACGCACTGCTGGTGAATCTTATATGTGTTGTTCATGTCCTAAGTATTAACATTCATTACCGCCTTTCGTGTGATTATTCTATTCAGTAACCTTCCCTAGGTTACAATAGATATATAAGAGAACCGAAGAAGCTATCATTTTAAACTGACTTTAGGACGATATGGGTTAATATAAGAAGCATAAAAAATAAGATGGAAACTTGAAAGAGTGAAAATGTTTCATAAAAAGCAACAAAAAATAAAATGGAACAAAACTTGTAGTAAAATAATTATTGAGAAAAAACAATAAAATTTGTAATAATGAAAATGCTTCAAAAAGTAATTTTAGGTTTTTTTTTTTTTTTTTTTTTTTTTTTATATACATGGCACAGTGGATAAAGGCGTTAGTTAGATCCAGTGACAGGATCCAAAG